AGCACTTCATTCATAATGCCTGATCCTGAGTGTTGGCAGGCATTAAACAACCAGATGAAAAGTAGATCTACTGTGAAGATGGAAAGGGGCAGGACAGTGGCAGTAAGTAAGGTAAGGGGACAAGTTTCAATTTTCTATCCTGTTTTTAAGGGCTTGGCTAGACAGCTAACTTGGAGCAGAATGGAGTGGGCTAAATAGGGTTGCTTAATGTTGCATAGATATGTAGTTTACCATTTGGTACCATCCTCTTCAGAGCAGGGATCTCTGCATTTTTCCTGTGGAACCAAAGTGGTGGTTCTCTTTAATAGAATTCTGAACCTTTTTTCCCTTCTTACAACAGGTCTTGGCTTTCCTACAATTCTGTCCCCTGAAGGTGCTGCACAGTTTGCTGCTCAGATTTTTGGGCTCAGTTAATCACTTGATCTGGGCCAAGCTGCATTCAAACATGTTGTACTTCGATTGCCCTGAAGCAGGCTGACAGAAAGATGAGAGAATACATTTCATAGGTGATTTCCTCAACCCCATTGCACTGTTGGCGTATCATTTTTAAGGCAAAACCTCTGACCTACTGGGAAGTTCTTCTACGGTTCTTTTGTCATAAAGATGAACAAAGAGACGAGTGTAGGTGAAAGTTTTGTTTCAGTAATGGAAGACTTAAGCTGTAAGAAAAAAGTAAAAGTTAGCAAAAAGGAATTTCATGTAGAATAGTTTTTACTGATCTCTTTTAATGGAACAGAATTGGTTTGCTCTTAGTTTGTAATCCCATAGACAGTGTGTCAACCTGATGATTCTCTTCCAATGTTAATACTTTTCAATCCACACCTTGCATCGCTAGGAATAATAGATTTTTAACTACTTTTCAATTCACACCCTGTTCTGAAATGTAATTTTTAAATGGTATCAACATGCATTAGACAATAAGATATATTTTGAAATTTTATGATTACAACTTTATTGATAGGCAGAAAACTTTCTGTTATAAACAATTGCTATTTATATAGTGGCAGTTGAAAAGTAATTTAGAGAAAGTGTTTCCTTGTATGTATTGACAGGATAGGTAACACAAAGTAAGTCATTGCACCTGGGAATAAACAGATCTCACCAGTATGTTGCCTTTTTTCTTCAATTTGTAATCTGAGCAGGGAAATGTTCAGTTTCAGAGATTCACATGTGGTTAGACATCAGTATGATTCAAAGTGTAGTCTTAAATACATGCATATAAACATCCATAGTTTTTACGGCACTGTGAAGTATTTGGAATAAAAGCCATAAAGGGAGTCATTAGTTGGAACCAACATATTGGCTTTTTGTCTAGTAGAGAGGAAACTTCCTCTTGAAGGGTATCTGAGTAAGGAGTAAATTTGAGGTTGCCTAATGGAGACAGGGATTGAAACTCAATACGGTAGCTGAATAAAATAATATTAAGGACCCAATTGTCACTCGTGATGTGTTCCCAAAATGGGAGAAAAGGTTGTGATCTTGGGGAAAAAAGATTCATTCAGTCCTAAAGGAGCATGGGTAAGGGTATCAATATCGTCGATATCCCTTACTCTCCCCTTGCGCCCTTGTTCAAGGTTGGCAATGCTGTTGTTGGTTTTGAACACGGGCGGTTGGGGTCGACAGTCCCGTTGTCAAGAAAAGTCTGTCAGGTTGCTGCTCAACGAAGGGTCGGTATGCCTGGTATCTTTGGAAAGGTTGAAAGGGTTGCTGGTAGTATTGAGAGGATCTGTAATTTGGTTTATAGGGACAAAAGGAAGATTGGTTCATATAAGATTTAGCTGTTTCACGCATCTTGTGAACACTTTCCATGGTATCATCAGTCTTTTGATGAAACAGGCTGATGCCATCAAATGGTAGTTTTTTCGATTCTGTGCTTGGCATCATTGGTGAGAGATGTAGATCTAAGCCACGTGTGCCTGTGAATGGCTATGGAAGATACCAATGCTTTAGAAGCAGCTTCAGGAGCATGTCTGGCGGCTATTTTTTGTTGCCTTGCTAGGGAGGTTGCTTCAGAATGAGCGTTCATGAGGTCTGTCTTGATAGATTCAGGGGCAGACTCAAGAAGAGGCAGGATTTTCGCCCAGAGATGCCGTTGGTAAGTGCTCATTGCTGCCTGGTATTTAGCAGCTCTCAGTAAGAAGGACTGCAAGGAATAGATTCTACGAGCTATGATGTTCTTTATTAGTTGGTGAGATGGACGGTTTACCCCTGAACTTTAATAAGTTGGATTCGACTATGATCGAATTGGGGATTGGATGTTTTGCCAGGAATTCCATGCCGGGATCATGGGTTCTGTACATGTTGTCCGTGTGTGTGGACATTTTTAAGTCTGTAGGAGTTGTGTCCCAGGCATCTTTGATGATTCGCTTCATGGCCGGGATGTATGCCAGGCTGAGAGGCTGTGACTTTTCAGTATGGATATTGTCAAAAATGATACCCGCTTCAGGAGAGGGAGGTTACTCAACCTTATGTTTGAGTGCAGTGGCCATACAAGAAACCAGATTGGAGTAAGAAGTGAAGTCCTTTGACAGAGAGGATGGCTTCGGATCAATAGGGTCAGAATCGGGTGTAGGGATATTCGGAGGAGACTCTGGTGATGACTCCTCTTCGGTGTCATGATCTGAAGGTGGTGGAGTAGATGATGAATGAGAAATGGCTTGAGACCCCCTAGATGCTGCAGTTCTTGAGGTTGTAGTTGGTGTAACATGGTGATCCTTCGAAGAATGCTTAGGCTGCTTAGATGGTAGGGCAGTCGAAGAGTGTGTCGTTTTTTTCGACATTGAAAGGGATGTCGATGTCGAGAGTGGTTCCATAGGTTTGGATGTCACTGTTGGTGGTGAAACCTGCGGGCATTGTTGCAGAGATTCGTAACAATTTTTTTTCTCTGGAGTCATTTGTGAAAAACCCTGGTAGGCTTCCATCTGGAATTGGTTAGCAGAAGGAAATAAAATTGTCCATGCCTAGCTGCTGGAAAGCAAGCTGTTAGTAGGCTGGAAAAAAATGGGAACTGGTAACATTGACCAAATTGAGGCATTGACGGTGGTGGTTGCACATGCTTCCTCTTCTCCTTATGTTTCTTTGGAGATCAAGGAGGAGTTTTGGGTTCAGATGGCTTGGTGTCGAACGCCTGCCCTGAAATCGGGCTCGAATGGGCAGTGGCTGGACTGGATGGAGGCTCAGTCCCAATATGTCCACTGGAGGGAGAGAAGCTACCAGTCAGGACTAGAGCTTGTGCTGATGAAATAAGCACCTCATCCCTTTCCACTATAGACACAACAATATCTTCTGTTCTATAGGAAGGACCACAGCTACTGCAAAGCAGTGCCTCTAAATCCTGTCCCAGAAATGGGAAATTTTATTGAAAGTCACTAAGAGGTCCAACAAACCCCCCAGGGAATCAGTGCTTTCATATTTTATAAAAAACATTCAACTGTACCTTTTTTTAAAAAAGACACTGGTAAAGGGGAGAAAATAAGGCTTCTTTGAAAACAGACAAGTCACTAGTACACAAATGGGGAATACACATGTGAAGAGGTAAAAGTTGCCTAAATGAGCAATCTAAGAACCTTAGGCTTTTTGGAAAACACACTATGCTTTAGTAAGAAGTATACAAATGCAATCATTATGCAACACTGCATATTCCCCAGTAATTATACAAGTTCAAATGCTGAATTAAATAAATCAGTAACAGCCATGTGGGGATGTAACAGACTGCTGTAGCAAGATGAAAATTTCAACAAGGAATTCTCAAAGGATTGAATATGGAATTGCAAGTCTCCAAACAAGGTCATTCCTTCAGGGCTTCGATTTCAGTTCTTTCTGGAAGCTGCTCATGTCAAATATGTTCTTCAGACATTTAGGATAACTCTGTTCTTACTGTCCCACAAGTACAGATTGTAAGACTATGCCGATCATCCTGTCAGTATACCTATGGACCTCGAGTAGTGCCATGATGCATCTCAGTTATCCAAATGGGCACATGACTTAAGACATGCCATGGCACTTTATTAGTTAGCTGAAATTAGCCATAGAAAATTACACAGACCTTACATGAACACTAGGATTCTGGTCTGAGCCAGAAATAGGAAGGTAGTTCTCTATCAGACACAAACATTGCAGCACCAAACAAACTTCAAAGAATAGGGTCCTGCTGCCTTAGTCTCATAGTGGTGCCACCTCTACATTAAACACTGTTCACGCCATAGCAAGTGAAAGTACAGACCCCAGCCAATAGGCCCTTATCATCTGGAACAGTGAACCCAGTCTCCACACTAGAATTTCCTTATGACAATTCATATTACATGTAAGTGTGTTCTAGGTAGGCAGAGATGTTAAATAAAGGCTTCTAAACAAAACAAGACTGCTTAAATTTAAAAATATATAAGCTTTAGGTTTATTGAAAATTAAATATTAGCAAAAGCAAGGTTTTTTTTAAAAAGAAATATTTTACAAAATGATTCACATACAGGACAGACACTCACAAACTGAAAACTACAAAAGTATCTATTAGCAAACAGAATGCTAACCTTTGCATTGCAGAGTAATATTGATATGAATAAGGCATGGAAGTCCTATTTGCACCAAATGTTTTCAATCTTTCCAAAAACTGGTAAAACTCTTAATTTTTATACTAGTGTTTCAGTAGGTCCCAGGCTTTCATTTTGGTTTTTTTTACAAGAGTATGATAAGTAAACTATAGCTTATAACATAGCTATGAAAAATAGTGCTTAAATTTTCAGATCTGCAAATTTGAGTATATGCAGTATGCAGGAAAAGTTAGGAATTGATTTTGTATTCAATGCTTAGTAAATTAAGCATTTATTTTGTTTTGTTTTATTTTCTACTGAAGAGACTCCTGTAGGTGCTCAGACCATCCACTCTGAATATCACACTAGTAGTTATCTGGTCCACACCAGTCTTACAATGCACAGCTACAGGTAATGTTCACAGTTTCAATAGCTTCTTGAATGAAGTAGCGTTCAGCTGTTCTGTAACATGGCTCCAAGTTCATACAATCATTTTTATTATGAAGTATGCGAGGAAGTACCTTGTGCCATATATATATAGTTAAGACATTCACAAAACAAGTTTGCTACAGCAACATCCAATACTACATTTTTAAATATTTGTGCAAATAGCAACAGGGTTGCATTTGAGGCAAATTCTTATTTGCAAGCTTTTGAATGCATCCTTAATATTGTAAACTTAAGGCTGACAGTTTTAAATCCTACAGTTTCCAGCATTCCTAAGCAGTTACTGGAAATGCTCAAATATTAAGATGATACATTCTCATTCATATATAGTGCAAATACAGTAGAACTTTTCCACGTGTCTTGATGCTGGATTGATCTTTGTGTGCAATTATAGTGGTATCCTTCAAGATGAAGGGATCCATGTGAAAAACTATTGATACAGGAGAAAGAGGGAAAGCGGTTCTGATAATTCTCAAACCAGTGCTAAAAGTGCAAATGCTGCAAAAACCCCAGCTGTAGTTATAGATAAAATAGGGTAATGCTTCAGTAAGGTCCAGGCAATTAGTCATTTCGACTGATCTCTAGAGAAATATGTTAGTATGTCTTGAATTTTTATCAGGCGTTCTTTCAAAGACCTCATGGACAGCACTGTGAGCTGGTATCGAGGATCCACAGGAAGAACAGCTAGAAGCCACCAACACCAAGCAGGTCCATTAGCAGTTTCCTAAAAACAAAGAATAAAAATAGTTCTACTGTTTCAAATAGTAAAATTAATGGCCATTTTCAAATTTCACATTTGAAATTTAGCATAAAGATAATTGTTAAGACACCCAAAACACAAGAATGAATTATTTCTAAATCTAACTGACACATTGTTACTTCAACCATCAGGTCTATGAAACAGATTTAAGACAAATCAATGAGGAGCTCTCCTTTAAAAGCATCAAATTCTGACTAATAGCTAGGCTGCATGTGGACAGGTTTACAGAAGAGGTGAAGTATCCAATACTGTCTTGTGAGGCTGTCATGCAGCTGTCCTAATCCACCATAACCTTCCTGCCATAGTGACTATGTAACTCCAAGAAACTGATACTGTACTGTCAAATCTTAAAGCCAAGGTGGCAATCACAATCCAAAAGTCATCTACACAGCCTTGGCCCATGGGTCTTTTACACTCTCTGGTCAAGCAAAATGCTGCAGTCTACATGCAAATACCTAGGAAGCCAACAGTGTTCTTCCATCACAATCTGCACCAAAATGAAGTGACCCTCAAAGGATAGTGTTGTTTATTCCTTAAAGGTAGAAAAGGAAAAAAAAAATCTTCTAGAGCTGAGGCCGACTGCACTGTATCTCCTTATCACCCTTCATCACTTTCTAGGCTGGTGGGAGTTGTAATCCAATACCTGGAGGGCCACAAATAGGTTGGAGGCCCACCCTTGCAGTAGGGAAGAGTCAAAGAGCTAATTTTTTAATAGGTCAGGTTTCATTACCACAGACAACTAACCTCACACTGGAGTTCTTGTACTTCTTCCTATGTATATAACTTACTTGGCACTAGACTAAGGATTGCTGCTGTCTCTTCTGTCAAGCCATTTTAATTAGTTACCATACATGTTTCTTTTTTGTTTCTTTACAAGCAAACTAACTCAGATTAAGCTGAGAACAAATGCTATTATACAACCTCTAAGTACCTGTATATTTTCCTCCCTCTGTGGCATTGGACCAAAATGCTGAAGTATTTGGCTGCGAAATTTGTTTCTTAAGCTTTGAAACCAGCTGCAGGCTTGGCTGTATACAAAATCATGGAGCTCTCTAAGCTTCTTCATCTCACCTTCATCTTCAACCTATGCATGAAAAAAGCATTGTAGTCACGAAAGTGTCTGTACAATTCATACAACTTTTTTAAACAAATGAATGAATAAATTTTCAACCTGACGTCAAGTTGTCTTTAAAGAACAGAGAAATGACTAGGGATAGGATTTTTCAAAATTAATTCCCAGTCCCATAACTCAGTGGATTATCAAACTGAGGTCCCCAGATGTTCTTGGACTGCCATTCCCAGAAGCCTTCACCACCTGCTATGCTAGCCAGGATTTCTGGGAGTTGCAGTCGAACATCATCTGGAGACCCATATTTGAGAACCACTGTGCAGGAACCCACCTCCCCACAAACTGAATTATGGGGACAGAGGCTGCCTCCATAAGATCTCATTCCCTCATGCACCTTTGCAAGTTACCAGGAATCCTTGAGACTCCTTCAGTGCAATGGGACACTGTTCAAATGGTGCAAAGCAGTGGTGCACTAACAACATGGTGGTAAAAGGGCTGCTGTACCCCTTGTTAGCTTGTTGGCTCCCAGTCTCATAATGCAGTTTGGTGGTGTTGGTGAGTTCCTGCAAATTATGGGACTGTGAATTCATTAATTCCAAAAATCTCCTCTCTAGAAATTAAAGCCAGGGCAGCTCCCTAAAGTAAACCCTATTCGCTGCCACTACAAAATGCAATGTTCAGAACATGCTTAGAGTGGAGCACCTAGCTCCTCCTTCCCTCATTGCTCTCTTCTCTTCAGACTCAGCCTTCAGTGTGTTGAATCTGAAGATAGGAGGTTGCTACTTGGTGCTGCTCATGTGTAGGCTCTTGCCCACATGACGAACAAAGTTCTCTTCAAACTTGGCCCTGAAAGCATGAAGAAAGCAATTGCATAGGGGATGAGGCTAGGGGCAGTTTCAGAATGCTGGAATTTATAACACCTAAACACGTTTGCATTCTCAGCAGCATCAAGCAGGTTGCACACAAAGGCTGTCTTCACTCAGAAAATAACTCAGCCACATTTTTGGGGACTAGAAATGAACTACTGACTCAGGTATTCCCCATTACCAACTTTACACACAGCCCTAATGCATTTCTTTCTGACTTATTCAAGGCATGGTTAAGCATTATGTCATAGATCAAAGAGTTTTATGTCCTCGGAAATTCCCAAAAAGAATAATGATATTCAATCCTGGTTGAGAGAGTACACCGAAACCACAGGTCATAATGTATTAATAATACTATAATATATTCATATTCACAAGCTCTGTCTGTCTCTGAACACATATGTGCACAACAGAAGCAGGAGAATCAGGACAGTGGCTCATTTAACATTCAAACCACACTTTGGAGGATTATCCAATTACAGCCAGTATTTGAGATTTGGAGATCCACATCTGCTAAATGCATAAACACATAAAAGTTTCATAAAAGCAGATTTACAGTTGTGAGATGAAGTTCCCTATGTGCTAAGTAGATACATTCATGCACTTAAACAGCACATCAAGAGTATGTACGAAAGACCCTTGTGAGTAGTAACACATTTTTGTAATGTAAAAACAAAAACATCCATGCATATATTTAATATGAAAATATCTAGAGAAGCAACAGAATGTCTTGAGAAGCAACTTGTAGGAGAGAGGAAAAAGAGAGGCAGTTTATGTCTGTTTGGCAGATGGGGGAGGATCTACCCTCCACATAGTCATTTGTAACAATTAAATAGATCAAGAGAGCATGCTCTCTCCTGGCACCTCCAAATGAAAAGGGAAAGCTAAATACAGGCACTATATATGCAAAGAGCTCCACATGTGAACCCAGGATTGTAACAGTCAAAACTCCCCACGTTTCTAACTGTGTCTTCTCTTTAAGTAATGTAAGAAAAATTGAAGTCTCAATACCTGTATATCTTCTAAATACTCAATGTCTGCAGTAAAATATCCATCTTTCATCCCTCTCTGAAGTACTCTGAATCTCTTTAATCCAACTGTGTCTACAACAGATCGCCCATCTGGTAAATAATCAAGATTTCTAATGTACAACATACAGCCATAATCTGTAAAGCTGGAAGAAAGAATAGTGTATCATTTACTGTTTTTAAAAAGCATTTTCAATGCTTTTCAATATTCTTTGTTGAATTAGACATACCCATTTTGGGGGTCACTTATACACATCCCAAATTGTTTTGTCCCTGTTTCTATACTTCTTCGAATCATCAGTCGATATCTTGGTTCAAATACATGGAGAGGACAAGGCACAGTTGGGTAGGCCATAGTACAAACAAAGATTGGAACATTCTTGGTCAAACTGAAAACAAAATACAGAACATTATAGTACTAATACTTTTAAAGGTACATCGTCCAGCAAGGGTGGAATTTTTGCTCAGGAAAGATTTCCTTCCTCAGCAATACCCCACAGATGTTCTTCCCCCACATTTAATTTCAGCCAACAAAATTATATCAAATCGTGTCTCCTTGAAGGCCACCATTCAGTGTTACACCGCCAAGCTGACAGATAAGCTAAATACTATTATTCCCTTTCATGTGGTAGTGAGTTTTTGTGCATAAATTTCTTTGTTACTCTCTTAAGATACAAGAGTATAGCACAAAATGCTATGTGTCTGAAATCAACTGAAACTTATTCTAGTTCTCTGTTAATTTATCCAAGTGCTTAAATAAGCAGAAATATTTCCATGGGTCGGACTATTTTGAAGTTGCACTTATCACCACATGCAAATATTAGAACATATTTTGAGTTACAAACAGCCATCAATGACTTGCTCATATGTCTACACAGCTTTCACTTAATAAAGCTGTAAGGAAGAAAAAATAATGCCAGTAGTTTACACCTATGAGTCAGTAAGGGTTTGTGATTACATGTTGAGTTTATACTGAAATTACACTCAATGACAAGAGACTTTTCCCCCGTGTTTATCCACTCCATGTACAAAGAGGGGTTGTGTGTGTTGAATAGGATGCATGTACACACATGCTAAAGCCTGCCTGCCTCTTGTCATCTCTCTTCTTTCATACTGCATGAGCCAATATGAAAAGCAAGACTACAAACTGATTGAGATACAGATTGAGATAGAGACAGTCAAAGTCCTGTACAGACAGTTTGAGAATCTCCTGCCTGTGCTTATCTTTTGCTTTCTAATATCAGGTCAGCATCATCATCTGCTTTATACACAACTGGGACAAGTCTATATTTAAGAGAAACATGTCTGAAGTGCCACCTGGTTATAGAGTTCACAGAACACTTTTATAAAATATGACAGCAATGCCAACAAAGTTATTAGACACTATTCTGAACTTATTTTGAATAAATAAGTAAGGTGATGTCAGAACAAAAGCATAAATTGCAGAATTCAGTTAGGACAGTTCTATTCCCAACTCTATTAATTTTATTCTATGTACTAGTGTTACTATACTTTCCCACTGAAGAGAAAGTAACCTAAAACATACAACTGTGTATTCTAAAACTGTACTTTGTGAAAATCATTGTTCCTCCAATCCTCATATTTTTATTTCCCTTAGATTTTTCCAAAAAATTCTGTATTTGTACATGTTTAATCCTTGATCCTAAACTTGACTCAACATGTTGCTTTATACTTTAAAAAATTACCTTGAGTGTTCAGCTGTTTCTTCATCATAAATTCTTTTTCTGTCAGACAATTCAGTAGGCAAATACTTCACTATTAGTTCCTCTAGTAACTGTGTGATGCTGTATTTTCTACTTGCCAGATACTAGAAGTAAACACGAAATTTTGTAAGCCATTATAAATATATTACAAAGGACTGAACTACTCCAAATTCATACTACTTTGGTACGATTTCAGAGTGTCAAGCAAAAGGATAGGCAATCTAGCAATTTTGGGCTGAATGTAAGTCCCATTTCCCACAGTTTCATTAAAAAGAAAAGCCTACACACATCAAAACTCAGTTCAACTAAGGGTGCAACATAAAGAGATGAATTCAGTCAAACTAAAAGTTTAATGATAATTTTATTTGTACCATCAACAGCTCAGATGTTAAACTAAAAGTTTATGTATCTATTAAAGTTTAGACCCAATTAACTTCAGTGCAATGTGTGCCTGACGGCCTTTCCCCACTAGGCCCAGCTAAAAGTGACAAGGTTCTGCTGTCAACTCTTGGCTGTTTTAAATTAGATTAACTGATCTTATGTAAGATGGACAAGTTGGCATTCTCAGAAAGGAAGACATAAGGCTACAGCAACTCTGAAGGACAAAAGACAGTCCAATACTTGTTTTATATAGGGCTCTCTAATGGTCTGTTGGGAATAGATGCTATGCAGTTATTTGGATTGTGGAACTGTGTGTTGCGATATTAAAATCCACAAGACCTTAAATACTGTACAGTGGTGCCTCGCAAGATGAATTAAATTCGTTCTGCAGTTAATGTCATGAGAAAAATTCATCTTGCGAAACGTGTTTTCCCATAGGAATGCATTTAAATCTAATTAATGCGTTCCTATGGGTAAAAAGTTGGTTTACAAAGGGTTTTGTTAAGTGCTCTTTAAAGCCATACATATTGTGGACATGATTTTAAAAAGTTCAATAAAAAAACTTTAACTTTTTAAACATCATAGAATAACATTTAAAAATCAGCAAACATGAGGTGGGAACAAAAAACGGAAAACATTCTTCTTGCAAAGCACGGCCATAGGAACATTTGTCTTGCAAGTCATTAACTCCATTATCAAAACCATTAGTCTTGCAAGTTTTTTGTCCTGCGAGGCATTTGTCTTGCGAGGCACCACTGTAATTGGTATTTGCTCAATGTTTTGTTAAAAATGATGAATGGTACCCTATTTGGATCTATTGCACACAGAACAGAAGTTGTGCAAATAGTTGTGGCTATTCAGAGAGGTGCTTGCCTGTGTGACTCTGCAACTCCCTAAATAGCTGCAGCTGCTTCCATTATTTCTGTTCCACATGGGGGATATTGGTCAAAAATGCAATACACTTTCCCTTGAATTTCATGGGTCCAGGCAGTGCAGCTTAGGTCATACACAGATTTTTTTCTGGTCCGGGGGGAGGAGGAGAGATAATTCCCCCCCCCCAATAGAGGCTTTTCCCATCATTTAGAGGCCCAGTGCTGCTAAAACTGTGGTCCCCAACCTTGGGTCTCCAGATTTCTTGGACTACAACTCCCAGAAGCCTTCACTGCCACCTCTGCTGGCCAGGATTTCTGGGAGTTGAAGTCCAAGAACTTCTGGAGGCCCAAGGTTGGGGATCATTGAGCTAAAAGACAGAATATTACTGTTATACTCTTATGTAATCCATGTAATAATTTTAGTCCCCCTCAAAAAACATAATATATTATTATTATATTTTCATGGGCATACAAATTATACATGGATTCTGAACTATGCGGGGAACCAGCACCCCTAACTTCAGTGTTGTTTAGGGGAGAAGTATATATTTCTTTTAGGCACATACAAATTTAAAATCAATAGGTTAATATATTAAAATTCAGATTATTAAAATTCAAATAAACAGAAACCTTAATTCTTACTTAATGACTTTTTAAATAGTGATGAGCAATAAATTAAATATGCATGTCCCTCACAAATGTTGATCATTCGATTTGATAGCAAACTAATTCTCTTTTGAGAAAAAATTTAAAGAATAAGAAATTTCAGAGAAATTCTGAAGAATGAGGCTTGTGATGCTTATACTTGTGAGGAGCCTGAAAATTGTTTATACGTGTCCTGCATTGTAAAATCATCTCTGTGGCACCCAGCAGAAACAGAAGGTCACTTCATATAATTATTTATAAAATATTTCCACTTTGGGAGGAGGCAACCCTCTCCCATCATCACCATGTGCTAGAATTAAAAAGTCCCAGAAGCCTTCACCACTAGCTGTGCTGGCCAGGATTTCTGGGAGTTGTAGTCCAGTAACATCTGGGGATCTAAGGTTGGACAAACTGAGCTAGAACAACACAAGGCTGTGGAAGGAAGCAACATAATATACAGGCTGTCAGTGCACATGGTACTGTTGTCACTTGTCATGGCAATGCAAAACCAAAACAAAAAAATCCTTTTAAAAAGGGAACAAAAATAAAGCTGTACTACAACCAGTGCTAATGGTGAGCCCAGCCACTGAGAAATTGTTGGAGAATTGTCCTTGTGCTGAAAAAATCCAGTGAAATGGTCCTCTGAATTTCTCTGCCCACAAACAGGGTGGAGAAATTTACAAGACCATTTGTGCACAGCTGTATTTCTTACCTAAGAAGCTTTTGTAACCAGACAGCCATAAACTATTTTCATATATGCAGAAAACATCACAGTAACCAAGTGGCTTCATTTCCACCAGGTTTTTAGAATCTGCTCAAATATGCTTTAATGGTGGAGGTTCTTTATCACAAATATGCTTGGAAAATGTTACCTCTTTCAGGCTTTCTTTACACAGAGGACACTGAGGAACATGGTCTAAGCAACGTTCTAAACAGTTCCTACAAAATGTATGCCCACAAGGTGTTGTCACAGGATGAAAGAAAAGTCTGAAACATAATTTTGATAATTTTAGTTGTGTGACATTATGGCTAACATAATTTCAAATTCAAGTAAACTGGGAAAAAACAGTCCTAAGCTCACAGAAAGAAAAATGATTACTGAGTAGTGAACTACTCCTTTAAATATATAATACCTTTTCTCACCTTTGAGCTCCACACAAGTGTAGCAGTTCACAACCTGTAATTCTCTCTCTTCAAACAGCCTTATTCAAATAGCACATCAAGGTATCGGTTTGCACTAATTTTCTTTAATCATTCTGTTCCATTCCAACCCAACTCACCCATCCTTAACTAGATTATAAGCTTTTAAGTAGATCATAGTTTATCATTTAACTATTATTACCTCCTTGCTGTTTTAAAAGAAATCAAGAACACTGTAACACAGTAAAAGCTACCAGTTATATTGTACAGTGGTGCCTCGCTTAACGGGCGCCCCATTTAACGACGAATCCGCATAGTGATGGATTTTTTGCAATCGTTTTTGTGATCGCATTGCGATGTTTCTAATGGGAAAAATCACTTTGCAATGATTGGAAGGCTGCTTTGCTTACCGATTTTCGCATAACGATGATTTCCCAACAGCTGATCGGTGGTTCCAAAATGGCCATTGGGTAAAAAAATGGCCACCCGCTGTGTTTTCACCCCAATTCCTTGCTTACCGGGCAGCGAAAATGGAGGCCATATGGAGGATTTTTGCATAAAGGTGAGTTTTTTGCCCATAGGAATGCATTAAACGGGGTTTAATGCATTCCTATGGGCTTTTTTATTTCGCATAGGGACAAATCCGTATAGCGACGATTTTGGCTGCACGGATTATTGTCGTTATGCGGGGCACCACTGTATAATAATCTTTTCTGAACTCTAGCCCACTTTACTAGTTGCATGGAATATTATCCAGAACTGCAGGTGTGTTTATATTTTCAGTTCACATTGTTGGGAATGGAAATGTATACAGTGAAGTAGAAGGAAATTAAATGAATAAAAGTTCTAATGATGACAATTACTGTTTTAACAACTGTCAATTCTTTGAAAACTGCAGTCTAGGGAAGTTTAATATAACTGCCCAATGTAGAGTTGCATGTGACTTACAGCAACATGGATTAAAATTAAATTGGGCATGTACTTAAAACGCAATCTGTGATACTGATTACAATGAGTTATTAAATGAGCTCCACTTTGATACAGAAATGGTCGTGTATATTGCCGAATCCAACATGGAAAATCCAGGGCATTTCTGACCTGGTATGTGCAGAGCTTGAAAAATTTTAGAATGTCTCACCAGTCAGTCAAAAATGTCACCAGTCAGCATGACCGGACTATAGCCTTAGAATTTATGTTTAAACTTAAACTAGTGCATTTTCTACATAACAATGTGTACAAACCCAATATCACTTTCTACATAACAATGTGTACAAACCCTATATATATATACCCTCAGATTTGGGTTGCTTTATTACCTGCGTGCCTGTGGGGTCATGAACCTTGTATTTTGAATGCCTTTCTTTTGAATGTCTCCAGCAAAAATAAAACTGAAAGCAAAAGCGCCCAGCCTCTTAAGGAGCCAGGTCTTTCAGTTGAAATTGGGAGCAGGGAATCTCCATATTCTCCAGCATGGCACTACTCTACATTTTCCTGCATAGTTATATATATATGTGCAGCTCCAACTCTCTTCTCGTGAGAAGAGGGCTGTTTTTCCTTTTGCAATGGGAAGGGGGGGAGGACTGCAGGATCAGAAAGATAGTGAGAGATGGACCGAGAGTAAGGAGGCAAGGAGGGACGGACAGACAAGTGGATTTTTCAAGCCCCGGATATGTAATTTTCTCTTAAACAAGATTTTTAAAAGGCAAATATGAAAACTCTATCCCCAACATTTTTTTACAAAAATCAGACAACTGTAATGAAGAACCTATAATACCTTGCTTACCACATATGGGGTATCACTGTGCAAAAGTGTTTACTAGAACAGCAGTATTTGAAATGTAGAACTCAGCCTTCTAATATTTTCTGTATAGATGACTTGAAGTAGAGTGAACAAACTGAATAAATGTTTCCCATTTCATGACTCAGTAGTCAGATGTAAGCTAATCACACAGGTCCTAATCACCTGACTGTATAGGGTCTGTTAATCAGACTTCTATTTCACTTTGAAGAGCCTCGTGGCACAGTGGTTAAACTGCTGTACTGCAGCCACAACTGTGCTCATGACCCGGGTTTCAATTCCAGGTAGATGGCTCAAGGTTGACTCAGCCTTCTATCCTTCCGAGGTCAGTAAAATGAGTACCCGGCTCGCTGGGGGGGGGGGCAATGTGTAGCCTGCATAATTAACTTGTAAACCACCCAGAGAGTGCTTGAAGCACTATGGGGCGCTATATAAGCAGCAGGCTTTGCTTTGCTTTTTATTTGATAAAATCAGACGCCAAATGAACAAAACAATAGCAAGTATCTTCAGGAGAGTTCCTTCAACTCCCTGAAATTGGGCTTAAATGTTCAGATCATTAGAAGGCACTCTGCTGCTTACTATCGGTACAATCAACTACCAACCCATCTGCTATTTATCAATGGAAATGTTTTGTTGGTACCTGTGATAGCATCAGCATCAGACAACAACAGGAGGATGGGGGAGAGATGAGCATATGGTAGTGGAGCAAGAAACGTAAAGAAGGAGGGCAGTTTGCCTACTTGCAATTCAAATTCTTAGGTGGCTATCTGTGCAGCCACACAACCTTCCAGCAACAGGCAATCTGTGTGTGTTTTAAAAGATGCAGCTGCTATCTGTTATATGAACTGAGATGGAAAGCTTGGATTTTGCAGGAACAGAATGAAGAATGCATCTGCAAAGACCACAACAAATAACTGTGGGGAACTCTTCTTGATGAACTGCCACAGTAAGTGCTGCCTCCCCATTGATACTATCTGAACAATTCCCCTCAGTTTGCCAAGTAGTATATTTGTGGTGGGATATTTTAATCAACTCTGAGGTACATATCTATCTTTTAAATACAGCAGCTCCAATGTAGTGATAGTGGCTGAAATCTAGCAGTAAGCTGCAACTACAGTAGGCCCATTTAATCCATAGAATTTACAGAGAAGTCGATTCATCAAATCCTCACTGATTCAGATGACCTACTCTAGTTGCAACTTAGGACTGGATTTCAGTCCATATGTGATAGGCATGACATTTTAAGTCCATCATCAACACAGATTGTGTGAAGTGTTTCTTCAGTAACATGGCAGTGACAAAGATACTACCTATACAACAGACCACTGCACACATGAAGAGACTAACATACATTATGCTTACCTCTTGCACAGCATGAAACAATTTTTACACAGAAACCATTTTCAGCAATTTTTGCGCAAGAACCTGAACACAAAAGTGGTCGCAAGACCAGATGGGTGGGGTATAAATAAAATAAAATAAATAAAAGCTGTCAATAAAATGCTAGCATTAGAAGGATCATATAAATTAATATTAAAAATTCCTATACTACCTCATACACAGTGAGCACTCAAAGTCTGAGGCATCAACCAACTCCTCTGGAACTGCTCCATAACTGAATGAAAACACAGCATCCCTTTTTGTAGTTTCTACAAAATAAGATTATTGTTATTATTCAAAAATACCAGACACAACCAATCAAAATTATAAAAACACTGACTGGTATTATATAACAGATGCAAGTTTTAACCAAAAACCTAAGTATCTGTTATATTATATTATTTTTAGACTATACATAATAAGCAGGTCAGAAAACAATAATGATACATTTACCTCCTTGTTTTTTATGTTTATTCTTTCCATCTTCAGAAACAGTCACATCTTGTTCTGACAGAGACAGTTTCCTTTTTAATAAAGCACCTTTCTCTTGGCTAGAAAGCAAAGGTTCAGAAGAAACCCTTTTTAATCCATCATCTTTGGCAATTTTTCCTGTTGAGTTAAGGGAATGGGCAGATTGTGCACGATGCAAGTTTCCTCCAAGAGGCGCTGATGTAACCTGTGGTGTTTCCAAACCCTATCATAAGACAGTGAGGGGAAGGAAATGAAATACTATTTATCATATATCACTTCATGAAATAGCAATATTCCACAAGTAGCTTTACACTTTCTCAGATAAATTTCTTGTTCTTCTGTAGGCCCTGGTACAAAGGATCAACCCAGAAAATATATGGTCTACTCCAGAATATCAAGTATGATTTTAATAAAACTGAAGAAATATCTGGTTGACTCTTCTCCTAGGAGGCACAGTGGAGAATTGAACTTAGTCTGACTCCACAGCCAGATAACCAATGCACAGCTATAATTTTCATTAGTATACACAACATTTATTCTTTGTTCATTTTATCCTATTAAATCACTAGTTATAAAGCACCACAGTGATCAAATTAGAAAACTGTTAAGTTTGTAAAAAATTATTTCCCACTGCAGAGTTGACCTGAACTCAATTCTATCCAACTCCAAAATTTTATTTTTAAATCTGTCATATTTAATTAGAAGCAGACAATAACAAAAGCACACCGATACCACAGTCTAACCAGTTGGTGAATCAAAGTGTAAAAACACTGTGTACTTACTGACTCTGAAGTGAGCTGTAAGTTACCAGAAGAGTCTTCCCTTTCCGACTCAGAATCATGTATAAATGGTTTATTTCGAACATGCGAAGAACTCAAAGCAGATTCCTTTAGGCTCTCTCTTACATTTTCTGGTGATAGTAAATCACACAGCATCTGTAAAATAAGGGATAAAATTCAGTTAAATCCAACACTACCAATCTTCCTTACCTATACTACACAATGGTCATAAAAAGGCTGGGGACCGCTGGCATATGGGACAAAACAGATCCCTTAGGGGGCCATAGTGTTGAATAGGAGTTTTCCAGTTTAGGTTTCTATTTGAATGCTGGCATTCTTTTCCAGGGAGCTGATGCATTTGAAAAAAAGTGTGTAAGTACCTTCTCCACTTCCAGCTTTGCTGGAAGAAATGATTCATCAATTGCTAGGCAGTGAAGAAAAAGCTGCAAGGCATCATCTACAGAACCAGCATTATGGAATATTTTTGCTTTTCTGTAGTAGGCCTAAACAAGAGAGAGAGAGAGAGAGAGACAGATAAATTCTATGAAGTATAAAATGTGTTACAATAACGATTTCATTTGTATATTTTTTTATTCTGATCTGAAGCATTTTTACTCTGAGATCAGCTCCAATGCGATAGTGCAACTTGTTTTCTATGCCTATATTCAGGACTGCATAATCTGACTGTGATTATGCAAGATTCCTTAGAAGAAAATCTTAGGTAACCACTTACAAAAAAGTATCTGCAGTCACTGTTTAAAAGGGCATTCTTCCAAGATCAAAGAAATAATTAAACATTTCATACTTTAGACAGCAGAAGCAAACAGTACAGCAAAACAAGAATATGTTCATCAGCGCCATATTTCAGAACACTCTTCCTTGAGTGCTTTGCGCTTATGGAGCCTCATTTACAAGAACTGGCATAAACCATCTGTTTCTATGATACTGAACCATTTCCCCCCAGTCTATAAAGATCTATTTTTTTCCTAAACCAAAAAATTAGGAGTAAAGCAGGCACAGAATATTCCAATCAACCCTTTGTTCACTTGGCTTCCTCACAACACGATTCTAGTAAAACCTGAGGGTATGTGTGTAGGTAACTAAGCCCTTTGTTTGAAATGTGTGTAACCAACTCAAAAGAGACCTCCACGTCATCAACAGGAAAAACACTACAACTCCTGTATAGTGGTGAAAGATTTATAGAAACTGAAGAGAAACCTGAGACATATTGGATGTCTATTTGAAAATGAGGATTTGATCGATGTACTCGTATATACCTTGTTTCCCCCAAAATAAGACCTAACCTGAAAATAAGCCCTAGTGTGATTTTTCAGGATGCTTGTAATATAAGCCCTACCCCAAAAATAAGCCCTAGTTTAGTGAAACCCTGCCCTCCACCATTGTACAGCATTGTGCAGCAACCAGAAGATGACATGACTGTAAAATAAAATATCCCCTGAAAATAAGCCCTAATGCAGTTTTGGAGCAAAAATTAATATAAGACCCTGTCTTATTTTTGGTGAAACACGGTATCTGATTTTGGGACTTTGAAATCCATCCTTTCACTCATGGGCTGTGAGTCTTTGGGTTTTTATATATCGTGTATGGTGTATCTGAAATGGTCTGAAGACCTCTTCAATAAAAGTTACTCCATTTTATTCTGTATAGTGGTGTTGAAAATGCACCCATAATCAGAACAGAGCTTTTGCAAGACATGCTCTAGTATGCCTGCTAAAAATCTCCTATTCATTTTTCAAAGCAATCTTTATCATTTTACTGAGGTATCATGGGTGTATAAAAACCATCTAGATGTAATATCTTGCATAATCTTTCTGCATTTTCACAACCTACTATGTTACTCTTTACACCTACCTCAGGCCAATTTGGCATTTTAGCAATAACAGCATTTAGGTCTTCAAGGGCCAGTTTAAATTCTTGGAGTCCGGCAAAAGATTCAGCTCTATAAATTCGTAACATCATGTCACAGGGATCTAAAACAGACAAAAATATGTATGTAAATCTTAGCTAGCCACTCCTGGCAGAAGGAGGGAAGACGAGTCTCCCTGCAAGGCTGACAAGTGGCTAGCTGACCAGGAGCTCCAGAGCAAATGGAAGGAAGAACAGGGCCAACGGCAGACTCGTGAGTAGACGGTCTGGCCCCAAGGGCCAGACCCTTGTTAACTATGCGATGGTATTCATATACAAATACCCCTATCTCTACCTGTAACCTTGCAGAGCTGCTGCCTATCAATACAGAATTTTTTTACATTGCACTATCATGCCGTTATTATCACTAGGGAAAGGATATATTTAAGGAGTAGTTTTATCAGTGCCACCACTCCCCCAGAATGTGTTTTGATGGTTTGCATTCAAATCCCTATTAGAGTTGCCAGGTCTCAGATACAGTAGAATTTAATGACACTTAACATTTAAAAATATCAATATTGATAGGCTGCAGATATGCAAGACTTCAAGGATAACTCTTCTCTAGACTTATGCGGAAATAGCAGAAGAGAACCTGAAACCTTGTGTAAGCAAAGTACATGCTTTATCACTAAGCTGCAGCCCTTCCCTAAGGTCTTATATCTACAGGAAACAGGAAGGATAGTTAAGATTTCTCAGCTATCCCTAAGGCTGCTGTAGCATTTAATAAGGGGATAGTAAAAATGCTGAAACATATTTTTGAAATTACATAATTATAGCGTGTTCATCATTATGCAAATAAAACATTTTAGGTTTTCTATAATACACAAACTCATGTGAGTATCAAAGGACAGAAAACTGAAATAAAGAGAAATTTAAGACGCAAAGAGAATAGAATTTCCTCCAATCTATTCCTACTTTAGCCCTGTAATTTGAGTGTTCAGGGTAGCACTAGAAGTTAACTTAAAAGTATGAAAGCACAGAAAAGACAAGTAAGAAGTACTGCTCACACTCTAATTTTAATGTAGATGTGACATTTCCAATTCTGATCTTCAAGTGTCAACTATAATAAATGCCACAATAATTTTAGATATTGATGAAACATAGTTTCAGGTTTCAAACAGTGTGAAACATTTTGACAATTATCTGATAAACACCTAGGTACATGAGGATATAAAACAAGGATAATTGGTTCCAGGTCTCCTTTCTCTAATATAAGAAGGTAGGCAAAAGAAAAAAGAAAAACCACTGTCTTCTAAGTCTAAATTTCTATTTTGATTTACATTGAACAATTGTTTTTCTAAAACAACAGTCCCCAACCTTTTTGGAAATATGGACCGGTTAGGGGGGCTGCGGGGGACCCTGTGCTTGCGGGTGGCACTTCTGCACATGTGCACAAGCATGACACACCCATCTGTGATCGCGACATTCCCCCGCGCGAGCGCAACATGCCCGCTGTGCGGGGGGGGGAGATCTGTCTCTGCAGCTCGGTCCTGGGACACCCACAGAACGGCACTGGGTTGCAGACCAGGGGTTGGGGACCCTGGTTCTAAAAGACTCGCATGAAAATTTGAACAATGATCTTTGTAAGAAATTTACTCTAAAAGTGGCATTATAAATTGCTCTAGCTGAAATCCTATTGGGTACAGTGCAACTACACAAGGGGAATGATGTCGCTGGCAGCAGCAGATGGCTGCATATTAAAGGCTTCCTTTTGCAATTTCACAATGCACACAACTTCAACACATCATGTGTAAGACATGAGCAGCCTGAAATCAGATAAGGAAGCCTTTAATCAGCAGCTTCTCAATGACTGTAAACATCACCAGATGGCCAGTACAGAAACCATAAGTTATATGAATGAAAGTAGTAGACAGAGAAGCTGTTTTCTCCTTGCCAAAACAGGACCAGGAACAGGTTAAGATATGTACCATAAATTAATAATATAAATAATGAGAAAAAAAGCTAAGAACACAAGAGACTCATAGTATCAAAATATAATTTAAAGAATATTTCTTATGAATATAAAGTCCATATAAAGAATAGATTGCTTTACTAAACTCAAGTGTAAACCAGAAGAACAGGGAACTAAAATCAGAAGATTATTGACAAATAAAAACAGATAATACCTAGAGTCAAAAGGGAAGTAAAACCTAGAAGACTAAAAAAATTCTTTAAATGTTTAATGTGGAAACCAATGCAAGGCAGCCAGCGTGGGGGAAATAGGTTGGTGCCTCTTTACACCAGTTGGAAGTCTGGCCACAGCATTTTGTACCATCTGAAGTTTCTGCGTCAATCTCAATGGCAGTTCCATGTAGTCTAATCTTGAGAATACGAGCGCATGGACCAAAGTGGTGAGCGTCCCCACATCAAGAATCTGCCAAAGGTGGAAGTGTGCAGAACGGACCACTGACGTCACCTGGGTCTCCATGGTGAGCGCCAGGTCCAGATGTACACTCAAGCTGCGACCCTCACTCTTAGTGGTTGTTCTGAAAGAAATAGGGGTGTTTCAACACTTCATTCTTGTGATGCTTAATCTATACTCTAGGTAAGAAACTGCCAACAGGATCTGGAAGCTGAGTCATGACAACTGAGCTTCTTTCTTATTAGGTTGAAACATTTCACTACTCATCCAGGTAGCTTTTTCAGTCGATCATCCAAGTAGCTTCTTCAGTCGACTGAAAAAGCTACCTGGATGTGTAGTGAAATGTTTCAACCTAATAAGAAGGAAGTCCAGTTACCATGACTCAATTTCCAGATAACCTCATCTTGATGACTGAGAATGTTCATAGATATATCAACAGGATAGAATACAGATAGACAGTTTGGATTTCCATAAACAAAAGTGTGAGATAAGGGCATATTTTATCTATCTGTGCAATCTGTATCCCAAATATACCCGAAAAGCTGCATTAGACAGATGGAGAAGTGAACACTGGTGAACCCGCACTAATTTAAGAAATGCAGATGACATCTTATTACTCACAGAAAGCAGCAAAGATTTGAAATGACTCCTGGTGAAGGTGAAAGAAAACACAAAAGCAGTTGGATATTTAAAAAATAAAATTCATGTCTACAGGAGAATTATGTTGACATGAAAAAATAAAGACTGTTAAACATTTTTATAGTTCAGTCATCAATCCAAACAGAGACTGTGGCCAATAAATCAGAAGATAGAGACTCAGACTGTAAACCATGAAGGAACTAGAAAAGACCCTCAAGTACAATGTGTCACTTGAGATGGCGCAGTGGTTAAACCGCTGTACTGCAGCTAAAACTGTGCTCACGACCTGGGGTTCAAATCCCAGGTAGCTGGCTCAAGGCTGACTCAGCCTTCTATCCTTCCAAGGTCGGTAAAATGAGTACCCAGCTCGCTGGGGGGGGGGGGCAATGTGTAGCCTGCATAATTAAATTGTAAACCGCCCAGAGAGTGCTTGAAGCGCTATGGGGCGGTATATAAGCAGCACGCTTTGCTTTTTAAAATAACATCTAAACCAGTGGTTCCCAGCCTTGGGTAATCCAGGTGTTCTTGGTCTGCAATTCTCAGAAACCTCACCAACACAGCTAGTGGTGAAGGCTTCTGTAAGCTGCAGTTCAAGAACATCTGGGTTACCCAAGATTGGGAATTAGTGATCTAAACTATGTTATTCCTAATTACTATGTGTGGATGTGAAACCTGGACATTGAAGAAATCAGAAAGAGAAAATTGCTTCATTTGAAATATGGTTTTGGAAGAGAACTTTACAGATACCATGGACCACCAGAAAGAAAGTTGGTCCTATATAATATCAAGCCTGAACTTTCCTTGGAAGCAAAAATGAAGCTATCATACTTTGGGAACATCATGAGAAAACAAGACTCACTGGAAAAGGCAATCATGCTATGAAGAGTTGAAGTAAAAGATGGAATGATTCAACAAAGAATGCCATAATCTTGAGTTTTCAAGTGCTGAGTAGGGCTGTTGATGATAGAGCTTTTGGAAGTCATTATCTCATAAGGTCTCTGCAAGTAGGAAATGGAATGGCCCCTAATAACAAAAAGTTAAGTACAGGCAGAGTTGCACAATGGGATTTCAGCCAGTTACTAGAATCCTGATACAAGGTTTCTGTTAATAATCCTTTGCATGCTCCTTTTAAACTTTTATAAAGGATTAACTCACCATGAGCTGCTACACACACTCTAAATTTAACACCTCACACCAGCAAATAAAAGTTAGCTTTCCCATTACCAAAGGGGCCACAACAGATAATACCTTTCTGATAATCTAGAAAAGCAGTTGCAAAATCCTGCCTCATTGTATGTATTGGCCAAAATCCTGTTGCACATCTAAGCATATGCAACTCAAGATAGCACCCAAGATAGTTACACAGCTACTGACATGGAAGTGCAATCACTGAAGCAGGTCCACTGCTGCATTGCATAATTGATTGGGTTGCTCCATACCTGGATGAAAACACAGAAATAATGCCTAGCAAATGGGATACTGGTCATAGTTTTCATTAAACCAGGTAATAAGTAATAACAGGATTGCAAAAGTTCTAGACACATGGTATCTCAAGATACTAAAAAAAAAAAAAGTTTTTTTCTCAGCTTAAGCATGAAAGCTGTCAGCATAGCTCATCTTTGCCTAACATGATACCCCAACTCACAGAAATGTTGGGCCATGTTGACTGGGGATTATGAGAACTGAAGTCTAATAGTTTTGGAGGGCATCACTGAAGTCTAATACATTTGGAGGGCATCAGGTTGCTGAAGACTGGTTTAGCTGACACATGAAGTCCTCTTTTTAAATGCTTTATGGTTTTTTATAGCTCCATTATGCTTCATGATCAACAACCCAATTAGACGGTTTATGCTGATCAAGTTATATGATGGAAAATTACTAACCAAATATGATGCCATAAACATGGTACAATCAACCATACCACAAGCATAGGTTTTAACTGAATGAATTATATTATTGGTAGTGAGGATCTTGTACTAGGTTTTGAAATTGTAATTACTTTTTCACTTTTCTATATTTATTGGTTCAATTTACAGATATTTACTGCACAATACATACCTCTAAATGTACACCCCAAAACTTCCATTTCACAGTACAATTACCTGTCCCCAGCAATATCATTCTACTTGACATTTCACATGCCATAACATAAAGGGTATCTGCTTGTTTCAGTGCTTTCCAGATTACATGTATCAATGAGGACAACTTTGAACAGTTAATTGAATAAATTACTTAAATTTTAAGCAAAGATAAATATTCTCTCAAAATGTTAACAGTACAAAAACACCAAGAATGAGATTTACAACTTTAAAACTAGGCTGTCTGATTATTTGTTTAACTACATAGCATCTGACTTTGGATCTAAGAGATTAAAATGCCAGATGCATAAAACACATGTGCAAGATAGGAATTCTGTAATACCTGCAAAAAAATTAAAGATCACACCATAAGCATAATAGCCAGAAAGCTACAACAAATACATAAGAAAAGATGGAAAGTTTTTGCAGCCCAGATCCAGAATTATTAGGAGACACAGAAGAAAGGGTGTGATTAGAATACAGTGATGAGCACACTGTAAAGTGCTCGTTTAATATTAGACTAATCACATCCCTTGACCTCACTATGCTCCATCTTTTCCCAGCAATGTGTTTTGAAAGTCCAACACGCCCATCTGTGATGTCACTGGCATTATACAACCTTTCCCCCTTCCACACCCCCATCTGCTTATGCAACCAGCCAGTCTCCTGTGAATTGTCTCAGTAACACTTAAGGAGACTGAAAATAAGCCTCTGTTAGATACATTATGAGAGATTACTAGTCCTGTAGTCCTTGCTATCAGTGTTCCAAAAATGTTTACAATACCACCCCTCTCCTTGCCACACAAATGTCCAGAACACACTTGCCATCCTACCTAAATACTTCACCCATATTTTGGCTCTTTATTGTAAAAGCAAATCTTACTTATTTATGGAGATTAGTGTGTGGGTGTTTCATTTACTGTGGAGATGAATTATGAAACACAGACACTCAGGCATTTTATAGTCCATTAGCAGGACTCTTCAAGGCTATGTTGGCTAAAAAGACAGATCTTACAAAGAAAAGCTGCATGTGATAAAGATTCCTCCCTACTTGTATGCCTGCTGCCAGTTTTGATGAACTGAGACATTTACACAGGAACTCACCTAGAGTTCAGTGTTACTCTGAAAAAAGGACAGTACCTACAATAAGTTTCATGCATGCAATTTCAGCACAAAAGTCAATGTAATGTTTGTTCGGCATTCTTTCACTGAAAGCTGGCAGCAGTTTTCATTAAGCACAGGCTCACCGGACAATGTAGCCTGCTGGATTATGAAACACATGAGTAGTTGTTTCACCCAAGAGTATTATACTTGAGGCTGCAGAGCACATTTGGTCTGCAACGGTGAAGCCAAAGACATTGCAATACACATAAATGTGTGAACCACAAGGGTACAATACAACGCTTAGGCATAACAATTCTATATGCAGAATGTCCAGACCCCCTGGCAGGAGACACTTCGGTACAAAAGCGAACCAGATCTCAGATATACCTACAACGACTTACAGTCCCCACTGAAGTCAGTAAGAGTCCCACAATAGGACTGCCCTCAGACTTAAAGACAGGGATTTGCTCTTCGGCAAGGAACCTACTGAACTCAAGGGAGTTTGCGGAGGAATCAAAGACGCAGAAAGTTGGCTAAGTAGCTGCTCCCCTTTCCCTGCGAGGCGACAGAGCACGCGTGCGCGGGGAGGCAGTCTGCTCGGGAAGCCCCGTAATTCCTCTTTCTCTCTCCCCCCCTCCGGTTCTGCAACGAGACCACGAACGGCCGCCGCTTACCCTCGACGAGGGCCTGGCTGGCGGCTTCCTGAGCCTCGCGGAGTCGCCCTTGCCCCAGCAGCTCGGCGAGGCGGCGCCAGGTCCGCACCCTCTCGCACTCCGCCGGGAACCATTTCTCCGCCAAGTGGGCGAGGGCGACCGTGACGGGCGCCGCTTCGAGCGGGTCCCCGCAGCGCCGGCAACGGGCGCGGAGCCCCTCCCGCAGGCATCGGCGGCAGTAAGTGTGTCCGCACGGCGCCGTCCCCGGCTCGCCCAAAAAGCCTCGGCAGCCCAAGCAGATGAAGAGCCCCGCCGGCGGGCTTTTTCCTTCCCGGCCGCCAGGATACGGCTCCTCTTCGTCGTCGTCGTCTTCGTCGTCCTCCTTCTCCTCCTTCCCCGGTGTATGGCCAGCCGCCGCCGTGACTTTCTGGCCCCTCTGCCGGAGGCGGTAGTGGAGGACCAGGCAGTCCACCAGGGTGCCCAAGCGGCGGCGGGAGCTCGAGGGAGGCGGCGGGCCGAGACGCAGCGCAGCCGAGTAAGCCTCCAGCGCTTCTTTCAGGTGGTTGCCCAGCGCCAGCAGCTCCCCTTGCCTCAGCAGCCGCTCCTGTTCCGACTGGCCGCCGCCGCTGGCGCTGCCCCCCGGCTCGACGCTCACAGCCCCTGACGGAGACGCCATTTCACCCCCCTCCTCCTCCTCTTCGTCCGCGCGCCGTCCGGAACCGAGGGGGGTGTGGCACGCGACTCCGACAACTGCTGCCGCCGCCGCCGCCGCTCTAGTGTTGTCGCTGGAACAGAATGGCCACAGCCAGCAGGCGGTTGACCTAGGCGCGCGTGCGCGTGGAGGGCGACAGAGGGCCGCTTTTCTTCTGTCGTTATTCGCTCTTCCACGCGCTGGTGTGTGGCTCCGCCCACTCGCCCCCTCCTCTTCTTTTCTCCTCCTTATCTAAAGCCCGCTACCTCCTCCGACAGGTAACCGTCAGATCTAGCAGGTCGCATCTCCCCTAAATCGCCCCCCTCCCCACCACCCCCACCTTGGCGCCGCGAGACATTCCCAAGCAACGCCACGGGCTTACATAAAACGACGCGTCATCTGACTTTTCACGCAGTCTTACTTTTGATTGGCCGGACGGGCCGCCCCGAGGAGCTCGAGAAAGGAAAGGGGGCGTGGCGGGGAATTATAAAACAAGGCCACGTGCTCGCCTTTTTTCAGGAACTTTTGGGTTGAAGGGAAGCGTTGAGAAAGGTGTGGAGGAAGGTCGGTCTTTCTCCACAAAGGGTGGGTGGAGTCAAAGCGTGCCTTTTGTTTGCTAGGTCGTCAGAAGGTTGCGCTCCATTGTCTCCTCTGCCGCCTTCTTAAATTTTCTTTTCTGTGCACGTTGGTTTTCCCGTTAAATCTCGAAAAAATTTTCTGAGCCAGGTTTGGGATGGGGCTGGTTAAAGTGCTAGGCAAGCAGGGTGTCTGTCTATGCTGATTTACGGAGTTTTGTTAGCAGCAGGAGTGGGAAATTCTCTCCCTGTTGAATATCTTCTGCAGTCCGCAGGAAACTAATTTGAAGCCCTCAGGTTTTGTTGTTCAGCCAGAAAGAGTCCTAGTGCAGTTTACAGATCAATAAAAACAGCCGTTCTGCACAAGATAATAAATAAGACATAGTGCTAAAGGTAAGGCAAAGAAAAATGCAAGGATACCCAAGGCACGAATTCTTGATGTTACAAAGGTATTATTTATTTTGTATGGCATGGCAGAACACAACATAAAGGTCTTCTCATTTATGATTTATTTAAAATATTTCTATTCTGCCCATGTGGCTTGCATCATTAAGAAGATGATATTTAACACGACCAACTGGAGAAAAAGAAAATCTGAATCTTCCTATTGTAAGCAGCTGGCAACAGTTCAAACAATACAAGAGTCAAAACAACTGCTGAACTTGTTTCTCTGGTGAGCTGCTTGTCCTCTCATAAGACTTAATGGGTGACAAGCAATCGAGAGATTAGTTGTATTCTGGAGAGGGCACCTGGTGGCCCAAAAAGAACATGTGGCAGCCCAATAATAACTCTGAAGCATGGTGTTCTTATTTTTCTAAAATGTTCTTACCGATAGAAAGTGACTAAATAGTTAAGTGTAAAAATAATAGCCTTTTCAAAAACCACTTGATTCTTTTAAAGCAAATGTCAAACATTTTGGCTTTCTGAGGTTTTCAAATTCCATGTTTACACTTCTTTTGACAGTTAACTACCATAATATAAAAGATTTCTAGAATTGCCTTCTGCATGGGGCCACACTTGTGTGACCCAAGGTCCTGTGCACATTTAGAGAACAACAGCCTTTCTTGCCTCCTGACAGTAGCATAGTCTGCCTCCCTCACTCAATTCAGGATTGCCTGAGTTGCCTTGCTACTCCTTGTGCCAGGCATGTGAGACCATCTGCCTCATTAGAAAGGACCAGAGCTTGGAAAGTTATTTTTTTAAAAAACAAAATTGTTATGTAAGGCACTGCAGCTCTCAGAGACTTATTAGTGTTCATTGTCTTATATGTGTGGTGTTCATTGTCTCATACTTCTTACCTTTCAAAATTTTTCTCCAAAAAATCCATTGGAAAAAGTAAGAATGTTGCTGGTATTTTGAGGAGTTAACTTTAACTTATTGGGTGATTAAATAGAGACCAATGGATTACAGATACCACCCCCACGCACACACACTCTGTTTCAGCCACTTCCCCAAAATAGCTTCATTAAATTTGAAGCTTAGCATCGTGGTTGAGGGTTCCACCTTAGACTTGCCACTGGGTAGGTCTCAGAGTGAGGAGACGGATATAAACAACTTCCTTTGCTGTACTCTATAGTGTTGGGGGATTTAGATCTGGAACAAGTTATCTTCAAAGATGAGATTTTACATCTGTATTGTGGGGTTAGAGTGCAGGGGGGTGTTTCCTGCTCCCCCCCCAAACATCTCTCTAGTGCAACAGGGCAAGGAGTTTCTTTTTGTAAAAGTCATGATATGCATTCTGCCAGCCCTAATTCCTGCTGCAAGATATTTACTGCAGTACAGACTTTTAGAATATCAGCAAGTCATTGTCCATCCCCTCCTCCACACTTTATTTATTCCCTTTCCTTCACTCTGCTGTATCACCAGATGAGCCATAGCTGGGTGTGTCCTTTGCATGCCTCAAGATTCTCTGGCTATTTGAAACTAGATCCGTTAGTGTAGAAACTGAGCTAGGCTGACCAGTTAACAGATATACTCATAGAGTCTACCTGATCTCAGACACTTTCTGAATTCTGGCATGGCTACGATTGAGCTAATCAGCTTCATAAAACAGTGGTGCCTGCATAGCGATGATAATCCGTGCAGCAAAAATCATTGCTATAAGGATTCATCACTATGCAAAATAAAAAAGCCCATAGGAATGCATTAAAACCCGTTTAATGCGTTCCTATGGGCAAAAAACTCACCTTAATGCGAAAATCCTCCATACGGCCTCTATTTTCGCTGCCCGGTAAGCGAGGAATCTGGGCAAAAACACAGCGGGCAGCCATTTTATTTACCTGGTGGCCATTTTAGAGCTGCCGATCAGCTGTTGGAAAATCATCGCTGTGCGAAAATCAGTAAGCGGAACAGCTTACCGATCATCGCAAAGCGATATTTTCCCATTAAAAACATCGCAAAAAATCGTCACTATGCGGATTCGTCGTTAAACGGGGCGCCCCTTAAGCGAGGCGGCACTGTATAATGAACATTCCTACACATCCTTCAAATAGGATCTTCTTCTTTGCGAGGGCTCAGTATGGTTGTTGACATCCTGTTTCTGGTCAATGGGTCAGCTACTCCTTGTCTCTATAGTTTCAATTACTTCTAGCTTTCTTTATAAGTAAGAACAAAATAAAAACTTTTTTTTAAAAAGGAGAAAGATGTGATGGCACCTTAAAGACTAAACTTCTATATTTTTTTAATGCCGGCTTTCATGGACAAAAGGGACGTGGTGGCGCTGTGGGCTAAACCTCAGAAGCCTTTGTATGCTGCAGGGTCAGAAGACCAGCAGTCGTAAGATCGAATCCACGCAACGGAGTGAGCTCCCGTCGCTTTGTCCCAGCTCCTCGCCAACCTAGCAGTTCGAAAGCATGCAAACGCGAGTAGATAAATAGGTACCATCTTGGTGGGAAGGTAAACAGCGTTCCGGGTCTAAGTTGCACGGGCCATGTGACAACGGAAACTGTCTTCGGACAAACGCTGGCTCCTATGGCTTGGAAATGGGGATGAGCACTGCCCCCTAGAGTCGAACACGACTGACTAAATGTCAAGGGGAACCTTTACCTTTTTTTTTCATGGACAAGGCCACTTTATCCACAAAAGCTCACATTAAAAAAATTAAAAGTCTTTAAGGTGCCACCACAATTTTGTCCTATTAACTTTTTGTTTGTTTGTTTTTATCTAGTCTGTGCAAACACAATGCAACTTACCTCTTCCAGCTTTCTGGAAACTCACAGAGACTGCCTCTATTTGTGAGAGCCCATGTTTGCATTTGCCAACTCAGAGTCACACATACATTGTATGCAGAAAAACAACTTCTGATCAATCCAATTTCAGATTTATAGGGACTCAATCAGCTGCTAATGTGGGGAGGGGGATCTGCAACAAAACATTGTACTGTACTGTATCCTGACTCCTCACCTACCACCACCACTAGCTGCTGCTTTTATTGGAGGGCCCGAAGAGAACCAGCTGTCAGATATACTTTGTATGTATGTTGTACCAAGGTGAAAGATACTTTCCTGAGCTTTTACATGCAATGTCATGAAGCCCAGTAGTCTTCTGTTTAGGCTCCATTGTGTATGACTAAAAGTTTCTTGCTTTGTACTCATTCAGCCAATGTATGATAGCAGCGCCTAATATGCAGCTTTTCCTTCAATTTTGCTGCTAAGCTACAGCCTCCTAGAATCAGCTTCAGAATAAGATGTGGGTTTTTCCCTGCTACACCAGAAAGTTTCAGTACCAGCTAGTTACGTTAGTCAACTCCCTTGACCTACAGTAACTAGCCTGAAATTAGAGGTTCTCTCCTCTAGTTGTCCTTGCTGGCTGAGATGCATCAAGTGCATGGTAGCAATAGTGAGATTCTAGTTATGGGAAGCCCTCTCCAGATAAGGTTGGCTGGTACCATCATAAATCTGCACGGAACAAGGACTAATCCACCACGCTTTCAGAACCAATTTTTCCATAGTGTTTTTACTCAATGCTTCTTTTGTTTTAATCTGCATGATCATCTTTGTATCATTTTTTGCTTTATATTGCGAACTGCCCAGATGACATTTTGTTCTGGGTCAACCTTTAAAAGCTGAAAGTAAAACAATAAACAGGCAAGGAGTGTGATATATAAGCAATACTATCTGGTACTGTTCCAAATGGCCGTAAAGTCTGGGGAAGAAATTGTGAAATTATGTCAATATGATTATCCCAAATTAAACACTTTTTATTATAAAACTGCAGTTAATGTTTTCATTTTATTTCCACTGGGAAATAAAATAACACACAGTCCTCAAAATGCCTTCAGTGTACTAATAAACAGTAGCTTCAGGCTGTTTGCATTGTCAAGGAAAATAGCTGAATTGCACTTACTGTGATGAATTTAAAAACACATTTGCAAGAAAACGATAGTAATGTTGGGACAAACAAGAAAATATTAAATCATGCTGAGAGGAAAAAGACCTGTGCACATAATTGAAAAATGTCATGGTCTAAGTGACTGGTATAGCAGAAAATTATGAAGAAAATTTTAGTCATGCTGTGGCAAATCATTTAACACCTGTCAGAAGTTAAAACAACTTTTCTAGTGACAGAATTGCTGAATTAAACCAAATCTAGTTCCATTATTAGTTTTTGTTGTTGTTGGCAAGACTGCCTTCCATTATTCAAGGATGATAGCATTCAAACTTCTGAGAGCTATTGTAATTGAATGTCTTTCCAAACCTGAATTAAAATGATGTACATACATTGAACCAGTTTTGATGATTTGCCTGCCACTTAAGATTAAACTTCTTTCACAAAGCTTCTGAAGAATTAAGATTGTATATGTAGCCATAAAGATGATTATTCTTAGTTTCTAACCATTTCATTCTACAGTCAGAGCAGTATTCATTAATGGAGATCTTTCGACTGAGACTGCAGTTTTTCTCTGTGTTATGTAAACTATACTTGTTTATTTCCTGTGAAGCAGAGTTGCATAATGTACAGGGCACTCTCACATATCTGAAAATGTAGTTAAGGGTGTTCCTTATCAAAATAGGCATGGAATGAATTTCATAAAGTCTCATTTCCATTTTAATATAAGCATATTCCAATCCAAGATATTATATAATATTAGCACTTACAAAACTATAGAAAAGTAAGCATGCCTACACTGAAGGTTTAAAAAAGCTCTAGACTACACATGAAAAAAAGATACTGGCAAGGACCATGGAATGCACACAGAAGGCAGCGTAGTATCTCTCTTAAAGTAGCTCTAGACCTTACAGTATGTATTGCCAGATGGATTGAGTACTGTTTGTGTTTTTAACTACCTAACATTTAAGAGCAATGTGCACAAGAAAGATGTGCAAGCTTCAGAGGTACATACGATTAATTATTCTTTACTGAGCAAATTTCCTTTGAGACGTTACATAAATCCTGTAACAGCTACAGCAGAAGGGGGAAGTACTACCTACAAAGAAACAGTTTGTCATTGTGTGCTGTCAAGTCGCTTCCAACTATGAATGAGCAATCTCCAAGATGCCCTGTCCTCAACAGTTCTGCTTATCTCTTGTAGACTCAAGCCTGTGGCTTCCTTTAGGGTGTCAGTCCATCTCATATTTGGTCTTCTTAATTTCCTGCTGCCTTCCATCTTTCCTAGCATTATTGTTTTAATGCTGGATTTCCAGAAAATCCTGCCTTCTGATGATGTAGGACAGCCTCAGTTTCAACATTTTTGCCTTCAGAGATTATTTAGGCTTGATTTGATTTAGGACTCACTTGGTGTTTCTGGCAGTCCAGGTATCCATAAAACTCATCCAGCACCATATTTCAAAAGAATCATTTTTTAATGTCAGCTTTCTTAACTGTCCAGTTTTTGCATGAAATTAGGTTTTTCCCTAATAGCTAAGATGTAACTAAGTTATATTATAGTTACAATTGAAGAACCAGTATCTTATTGGCTCTTAATACCAGCATAAGTGCAATGGTATAAATTGTGGCAGTGAATTGCTAGTTGAGGAGCTGCTGTTTGGATTCCTCATTGAATACCTGGCTTGGTGCCCAAGGACAAATACAAGTGGCAACTCCTTAACTAGCAGCAATTCATTGCTTCAGTTTGTGTCATCACACTTATGCTGAATTAAATAACCAATCTTACTCCTTTGGAGGTGTAGTTGTAACTTTGTAGTTGTGTAATTAGAAAAGAGGAGCCACACCATACTAAATGATGGAGATGGAATAACACATGGTTCAAGTTTGTAATGGACTTTGAGAGTGGTGTGTTTTAAGCAATCAAACAGTAATTATTTTGGTGACTTTTTGAGAAATGGAAAAGTAAATTTTAAAAATTGCAACTATAGCTATAATGGTAATTTACTGGTTTTTGATGTTTTAAACTATACTGTTAACTTCTTAAATGTAACTTTTGAAATTCTGACCTGGAAACACCAGTAGATTTGATGATTGACACCGCAGTATATCTTGTGGATTGATTCTGTGAGCTGCTCCATAAACACTGGAGTTTCTGAGATCTAGACATTAGAATCTGAGGACTAGGATTATCTGTGATCCCATTCACTTCAGGAATGCAAGAGCAGTCAGTTGCTCCACAGAGATGGAACTGGTGTCCATCTGTGATGAATGCCTGTGTCCATCACCTTTGGTTTACTGTCTGTGGGTTCTTCTGTGATAACAGAGCCCAAGCGTAATGTGCTTGTATTAAAATAGAAGTAAGGTTGGACATATAGATAAGAGATCCAGGGGATATGGATACGAAGCATGAACTGTGGTCCAGTCCTGCCCCCCAAAACTAGCCCAGTCCACTTACCAGGTGCTTGTCATGCACATCCATGAACATTGTTGTGCCAATCACAGTCATAGTCCCGGTGATGTTTCCCAAACTCTCCCTGCAGCTGACTGCTCAGCAGCTGAGCAGGGAGACTTGTCTTCCCGCCTCCTCATTGCTGGCCCTTCTTTTACTGTCTTGTAGAGTTCGTCCAAACTTTTAATCTCCTAACTCCCCTCTTTGTGGCAGACATCAGAAGTTACTCTCTCAGGATTAGGTAAAGGTTCCCCTTGATATTTAGTCCAGTCGTGTCCAACTCTAGGGGGCGGTGCTCATCCCCGTCTCCAAACCATAGAGTCATCAT